TTATAGAGGATATATTTTCACTACGGAGCCTTCATCCTGTTGCTAAGGCAGGGTGAAGCTGGATCAAGGTGATCTGCCAACAAAATGATGCTTTCCACAGGAATTTCTCTGCAAATGTTCCATGTTTCATAGAGGAGGAGACTAAGGGAGATCAGTGACCTGCATGGCTCCAGTTGGCCTCCTTCCTATATGCCTTGAGACTCGGCCTCTATGACCATTTATACTTTTACCATGACTTTTTTTTTCTAAAAAGAGCACCAATTTAGTGTAGTGGTTAAGACTTCGGGCTACAAGCCAGGAGACATTGAGTTCTAGTCCAGTCTTAGGTATGAAAGCCAAACTGGCCTTGGGCCAGTCTGTCTCTCTCTCAACCCTAGAAGAAAAAAGAAACCAAGGACACACCACTTCCAAAAAAACCTTGCCAAGCACACTGTAGGGATTAATCCAGACAGTCATTGAGAATCAAAAACTAACTCAAAGGCACAAACAAACAATTAAACAAACCAAAACTTTTCTAACATCCCTTCCCTTTGCTTCCATTGAACATTCCACCCAAGTCTTGGCATTGCATTTTTAGGAAAGGTATTGACAAATTGGAGGGTATTCAAAGGAGAAAAGGTTGATATGGGCCAGGTAGGAGGAGAAAAACCTATGAAAAACAAACAATATATTTAACCTAGAGAAGAAAAGACCTGATTTACAACAATCTACAGTGATGTCATGGAGAAGAATTCTAATCTGTGATTGTTAAGAATTTTCTTAATAGAGGAAAAGACTCCCTTGAAAAATCTCCTTTGTGTTTAGACAAAAGTTGGAAAACTATCTGGTGAAGATGCTTTAGTATTGGGCCGGGCTGTTAGTTGGGCTATGAGATGGCAATACCTACTTTATACTCTGTGATTCTATGAAAGTGATTGTTGCCCTAGAAATGTACATAGATGGTTTTCAATTGTCAAGACAAAGGAAAATGAATGCAATATAGCCTTCTGGTTTGCTATTTATTCCAAACATTTAATAGTAAAAATTGATACCTTTCCAGTCACATGCACACTGTTTTCTTGCATGTTCATAATGGCTTCAGAAATTTTGACATCAATGGGATCCATAACTGACTCAATGTTGAATGGTCCCTCTAGTCTGTCTGCTACCAAAAGCATGGCATCTGTTAAAGAACAAACGAGTCGGTCATTAGATAATCAGTAACTGTGGAACTTCACACATTATGCTTAATCTTGCAATTATCTCAGGGCAAAGTAATGAAAAACAAGCTAGTCACGTATTTGCTGTACAGAATTCACAGAATGCTTGAACGAGTGAAGAAGATTTTAACAGGTCCTCATAGTGCAATTTTGGGTCCAAAGTTTCCATTGCTTTAGGTGTCTCATCCTTAATGTATTGCAGGTGTATCTGGATGACATCAAAGGTGTGTTTTTCAGCTGGATGCCTACTCTTAAAATACAGTTATAGGATGATTGTCTTTAGTGTGGACTGTCAGTCTGCATAGCATGTGTATGTAGCAGGTATGTTGCATGTTAAAGTTGAATGGCTCATGGCAGTTGCAAAAGTCCACGGACACTCCTTTTGGCAGACAACAGGATCATCTGCCCTGCTGAGTCTCACTTTCCACTTCTCTTCTGAGTCACCACTGTTGTGATCATGTGGAGCAACAGGAGAGCTAATTTCTTATGCAATTATTCCCTCTCCCCCCCTCCATCCTTTGTTAACAGCACTTGAGAGAAATGGGAATAAATTTTCTTTTCCCGTCCAATAAGTGCACCTATTCAAATGAGTGTTTTTCCACTGCTATCAGGACAAATGATTCTGACAAACAGCCACTTTGATCAAAAGAACCATGGACAGGAATAGGAGCCTGGTTTTAGGTAGATAAGAAAAGTCAATAATCAATCTTTTTGTGTGTTTGGGTAGCCCCAAAGTTACATAACTCTGTACACCATGTCCCACGACCTAATATATAGGAAAGCTCCAGCTAAGGAATAAGAAGCAGCTTAAAAGTTTTCTCCTCAAAGCCATCTGCTGTCATTGGTACATAAGAAAAAAAAAAGACAACTGAGAGTTGACAAACTGAATTAATTAAGAATGCACGTTCTACCTTTTCATGCAGCAAAGACAAAAGATTCTTTTGTCATGACACCTGAAACAGATAATTTGCTAAATAATTCATTCATAGATTTATCCATCATACAAATGAAACCAGATAGAAATGAAGCCTTGGTGTATAAGTCTAGAGTTTTGCACAAGGCACTGAAAACTTCAACTTGACATAGCAGGATCTTGTAATTAAAGCAGCTGTTCTCTCTAACCCCAAGGACTCCATTTCCTTGCAATACAAAATCGGATAAATATTGGATTCTTGCCATGATGTACAGGTACAAGCCAAGTTTGATGCTTTGGGCTTTTTACAAAATGCAGCTTGATGAGGCAAGATACATTTTATGATACCACTGGGGCTACATAAGCTCATTTGTCTAATTACACACCATTCTCTGTGTATGTAATAAGAGGATGAGGATGTTACCCATACTATCCTTGTTGTAGTATACCTTTGACAATCTGAACCACTGTCAGCTTATCCATCAACTTATGTTGTATTCTGGACCTTAAAAATGTCTCTTTTCCCCAGCATAAAATTATTTTGCCCCCCTGGAACAGACTGGATGATAAATTCTAGGTCAAAGGCTTTGTCAGTTAATCAGTCGTTTCAAACAATTTGCAGACATCTGAGAGTTCAGAACTAGGTTTAACATGACCATATGTACATTGCCTTTAAAAAAGCAATCATAATTTAAAAGCAAAGATTTTGTTTAAATTTATTTCTATATTCATATTTTTGCATAAAATATCTTGATTGGAATTAGTGTTGTAGCTGAGGGGTCTTTAGTGCTCTCTCAGCTTGGTTTTCTTGCAGACATTTCATTATCCAAACTAAGTAATGTCATCAGTTCTAATGTAGGTAACACCAGCATTGATGATGTTACCTAGTTTTGGTAATAAAACAACCAAACTCAGAGAATACCAAAGACCCCTCATTTCAACCCTGAGCTAGAAATATTCTCCTTTATTGTTTTTGTAGCTATTGATCACTAGGAATTAGGAGTAATGCTTGAAAACTGGATCCTCATGCATGTATTTGAATTCTCAATTGTGCTCTGCACTTGCTTTTCATTGCACCATAATGCAAAACCATGTTTCATGTAAATATGTTGAAGAGCTAGGAGAAACTGCATTGTACCATTGAATTAGGCTGCTAAAAGGTCAGTTAATGGAAGAAAATTAAATTTCAGTTTTGACTGCGAATCAGAAAATTAAGTCAATCTGATTCATAGACTCACTGGCCACTAGGTCAACTGACTTGATGGCAACTGAAACCAGAATTTGATTCAAGGATTGTGTCATTTATTGATGGGAAATATTTGGTTGGTTAAAGCTATAGAGCAGGTAAATAAATAAATGAGACCTTCAATTTTGCATAGAGCAGGAGGGAGATATGTGGCATAAAAAAGCTCTTTTTTGCTGAACTTTGAAATATATATATGTTAAGTCAAGATTTATAGAAAAAAAGCATGTTGTTGTCTACTTAATGGTTAGAGTTTTAACACAGATAAAGGCTTTTATTTGTATCATTAGAGTACCATGGAAAGTGATATGAGGTTTCTATCATAAAAACAAAGACATCATGGATCATTTTTCCTGTGTTCCCCAATCCTGCTTTTTCTAGTGTAGTTTTCATTACCAATAGGTCATGAAATGATATTTCTTCTTTTAAAAGAAAACAAGTAATGCCTCACAAGTGGCTGATTATGCCCAGGGAGGATAAGAGAAAGTCCAGTGAGCAGGCATGCCATCTTCTAGTCTATTGGATTTGTAAATGAAAAAAACCAGATGCTCTTCATCTGGCATGTGATTTCTTAAACATTTATTCAGTGATTGGTTGCTTCTGGATTTCTAGAGCTTTTGACTAGTATAGAGACATAGGAAGATCAACTCTACATAGGGTCCATTTGTTTATCTAGCTTTTTTAATAATTATTTTGCTTACTTATTCCAGTGAAGCTAAGAATAAAAGACATATTCCTCCTTTCCACTGCAGTCTTCAGAACATTTTTGATAAGTTAACTTGAAGCTGAGACATCCTCAAGATGTCCTAGTGACCATCCCTGCTGACTTGGGATTTGAACTTTGTTGTTGCTTTCATTATTCCATTATTTCTAGATTGTTCACACCACTGTACAATCTTCAGTGAGGTCTTAGCCAGAAATCAGAAAATCATCTACACAATAAATAATCCAAACTGAATCACTGTGACATCTTAGATAAGATCACCAAAATCTTATGAGGTCTTGCACAAGATAGTCAATATACTAAAAAACTGAAATAAGATTTGTAATCTCATGAAACCTCAGTGATTTTACCTATGTTTTCTACTATTAATTTATTCTCTTTTAGGTGTCCATAAGTGACTTTGGGAATTGAATTCTGATTCTGATATAGACAGGATAATGACTTGGAGCATCTTCTAGCATCAGCTAGTCATTACTCAAATAATAAAAACACTGTCCTCATTAATGTTATTTCAGCACAAGAATGATTGAATGACTTTAGAAAGTGTTGTGCATTTGTACCTAACCTTGGTATCTAACCCTTTTGACATGTGATTGTGTGATTCCATGTTGCCTTCAACTCATCCTCAGCTCATGAATGACAGTAGAATATATCATCCTTAGTCCTAATGGTCTTAACATGTTTTCTCCTTTAAGCAATCAGCATGCAATGGCAGCCAAAGGCTAGGTTAAAAACTGCCACCCATTGCCACCCTTATGTCAGATTTGAAGTTGGATGACCAATAGTAAGTAGGATAGTGAGGTGCTTATTGGCTATTTCTTGGAAACGTGGGCATCTCTTTTCTCCTCCAGTTTCCTACTTGCCATAATTTTGCTGCTGTGTTTCCAAAGAGCCATGTGATACCAGGACTGGAAATGCTTAGGTGGCAAAATTGTAAGTGTAACTCTATAGTGATGCCGGCTTTGTGCTAAACTGAATATGGAATGTGGAACCACCTCCCATCTCAGAGCAAAGAGGATTCTATTGGATATTTGAAGAAAGAAAAGAGAAGAGAAAGGAAACCGTCCAAGTCCTGCTTGCCACTCTACTCTCTTTCACAGCTGAAGGCAGAAGGACACGAGAAGAATCCCAGAGATGACAGACACAGCTCTCCAAATGTACACAGGCCCTCCATGTGATACATTGGCTTGCTAACCATCAGTTCTGTAAATTACTCCCACACAAACACAAACACAACCTATTATGAATGCATACAAAGAGCATATATATTAAAGATCTTTAAACAAGATTAAACAAATTCTTTTTTGTAAAGCAGGGTTAATATTTCTTCATCACAGTAATTTAGGTATTATCTTTTTCTTTTGAAAAATGTTTATATTTTATTGGTCTCAAAAGAAGCTATTTCTTTCTTTTTTGATTATCTTTTGAGCAGAAATCTATCTTGGCTCTTTTTCTGAGTCCCCCGTGTATGGCAAGACAGAATGGTATCTTTCAGGCAAATTAGAAAATTAATAAAAGCAAATTAATATTTGTTCTGGCCAAAATCCAAACTGAACTCCCATGTGAAAGTGTTAGGCATATGCTTAGCTTGACAAGTGAAATTAATAAGATGTGGGCTGTAACCCTATGCACCATTACTTGGGAGAAATTGTAATTGATCTCAGCAGGATTTTTGAATAGATTTTCATGTGCTTGTTTTGCTAAAATTGTGTTCACCTTTGGCCCTAACCAGTTACACCTTGCGGGTTTAAAGGTGATTGCAAATATGCTAATGTTCCAAAATATTTTCATCGGCAGTGATATTTTGGATGGAATGACACATGAACTAATAATTTAATAAAATTGCTCTAATGATGGGCTTCTACTATATGGTTTAAAGAAAGGCAACACCTGAATTAAATTGATTCACAGGAGGTCATTTCTAATAAGTATAATGCTAGCTTTGTCTGATGGATATCAAAAACTCTACTTTTTAAAACATAAATTGAAAAACTTGTAACTTTTATTGTACTTTTTTGGGGGGGTTGAAAAGCTAATATATGAACAGCACAAACATTTCTCCCTTTTTGCTTACCATTGAGCA